AATGGCAAATGGCTGAAAAATCAAACAGTATTATAGCGATGGAAACCATCGTAATACTAAAAGGTTCCCTTTTAAATGCTGTTTGCTCTATCACTCTTTTCCCTCCCCCCCCTAATAAATATCGAAAGTGTTGAACAGTTCATGGTTTAAATTGAAATATCAAACTGATATTCAGGCAAATCCTGTGGTACCAAATTCCATTGGACGAGGATTGCCCGGAATCATACCTTTGCCATCTGCTACCGAGGTTGGATCAGCCTCACGTTTTGAAGCCATCATCTCGTCATCAGACGATGGTCAACGATGGGTTCACGAAGGAGGTAGCGAACCTACTGACTATGAGGTGATTGAGCCGCGCTTTGTCGACCGCTTCGCCATTTTCTCATCGCCTACAGCATTCTGGGCTGCGACAATTTGCTTAGCCGTAGCCACTACCATCCTCCTTGGGCTCATCTGCACTTTCGTTCTCATAGCCTTCCGGAGGAGGAGCAAACCTGCTGTTGATGGAGGCAGACCGCCCCCAGGCAGCCTTTATTCCGCGGCCATGGAGAACGTAGGCGTTCCTAGGTCAGCTTGCATGTCGATTAACGAGAGCACTCTGCCCTCTTGCGACTCAAAGGCGCTTCGACTTGCACCTTATCCCGGTATGTCTGCCACCGTGGAAAGATTAATGTATCCATATCGGGACATTCCACCACTTGGTACTTCATGATTGTATAAGAGTATACCCTTATCACTGCCATTAGCTGCCTATCTCTGGATTTTAACTGACTGCATAACTAATCGGCTGTCTTTTGGTCATTGGCTTATGATGCATGCACTTAGGCTATCAATAAGCACATTGTAAGTTACTATGCAATCATTTTGTTTTTAATTCTTTATCTTAAGATTCAAAGTAATCCTAATTTTAACTAGCGGATAGGTCAGAATCCGATATTTTTGCCCCTAATTTACTCGTCGATGCACATGCAATATCACAATAAAGTGTAAATCTTGAAGCCACTTCGAACACTAATGAGCCACACCTCCCCGATTTACTAATCATTTCAGTTCAACTGTAACACGGTGTTGGTATGATTGGGCCTCTAACTTGGATTGAACACAAACACTATGCATTAAAAGTTAATTAAGAACCAGTGTACATCGGTTTTATCGCCTAGACTGAAATGCTGGTCCGAGGTCCGCGTACAGTGAATGACTCGGGCTGTCCATTCACCGAAAACTGGTGCCGTTCCGATAATATAGATTTTTATTTTGAAATGAAACCGCAAAGGGCTCCCTCAGGCGGTTTCGTTTAGTACTTCATTGTATTCCTTATTAAGTTTCACTCAAATACAAAGGAATGATGGATGCTGAATAAGCAGATCTAAACCTAGGTGATAAAAGTAATCAAATGTACAGAGAACACGTGTTTTCAAAACAAGAAAGAAGGCTAATCAAACAGAAGCCATTTACATAAGTCCTCGAAAACGGAGGCTGAAGTAGGCATTTGGAAAGTGCCATGAATCCGATGAAACAGCATGAAGTTCATAATATGGGTTATCGCCTTCCCATTGAGGAAGTGATTAAGAACTTATAGTGATAATGTGTTCAAAAGTATGGTACATTGCTCTCATTGAATGGCCCAGGTGACTAAAAGCTGCGAATCATAAACAGAGAACGATATAGCTGTCAGTGGGGACTTTGGAGCTATAAAATAGAGCATTTTGGAATAAAAATTAGGTTAAAAGTTTTAGATACCATGACCATTTC